TTCACAACAAGAGCAAGTTGGAGATGCCTGTGGACGGGTATCCGTTTCCTGACATCCATGGGATTTAAGGTATCCGTTTCCTGACATCCATGGGATTTAATGAGGCTAGGGATTTGGTATATTTTGGCATGATCTAGTGGAATTGATATAATGGGACCAGCAACAGGGCCTTAATGGAGTTTACTAGGGTTTAATGGGATCGACAACGAGATTGATGGCTTGGTTGGTCCTTTGGTTGTTTCTCAACCCGCTCAAGAACGTGTTGTCCCACAACTGATCGATGGTAAGTTGTGTGTAGAAAACATCAGTTTGATGGCCTTGAATCAGGTGTGAGGTTATATTATATAACAACTTATCCATTTTTGTCTAGGAATATCAGCTGAATATTAGATAATGTTAGATAATGTTAATATCAATCTTTTGGGCCAGTTGTTTTTCAATTTGACGTTTTGGTTCCCAAGTCTTCTTCTTGTTTTTTTTTTAATGGGGATCAATCCAAATGACGCAGGGAATGGCTTAAGAACATGTGTATCTCCCCAGCGAATACCTCGCAGATGGTTGGTACTCGAAATAGCTGGGGGTACGATGGCACGACTCGTCCAAGGCTGAAGAAGTTCGAAGTCCTCGGAGCCAAGGGATCTCTGTTCTTTGCAGAAGATGGACGTCTGGACGCTGGGCCAATGGAGCTATGGAGCTGAAACAGGGACTTGCCCAGAAACTGTAGGGGTGACGATGAGTGAAGTCGATATTGTGATATGTTGTCATATGATATGTTTGTAGCATGTATGTATACAATGTATACATACACAATCATACACATTAGTAAAGCTATCTATTTAAAATATGTTAGAGACCTCTGGATATTTGATATTCCGCCGGCCTCTGGCCCAATGGCCTAATGGATGTGGGCCGCGTTTTGTGCTAGTTGACGTAAAGGCTTCTTGGCGTAAACCCTACTTTGTGTAAAAGCTGTGTTGGCCAGAGCAACGCAGGCAAAGCAAAAAATTGCTCAGGAGTACGTAGGAATCGTAACAAGAACATCCTCAAAACACGGGTGGTATTATATAATATTATATAATATTATCTAATAATATCTAACAATATCTAACAATATCTAATAATATCTAATAATATCTAACAATATCTAATAATATCTAATAATATCCAATATATGTTTGCTTTGTGTACATTGTGAGATAATTTACTGTACCCCCATAGTATGACATCTGCATTCCGTGCTAACAGTCTCTGGGGGTTCAATGGATCGATAACTACTGTACCCATATGGTTTGCTTCAGGATCAAGATTTTCCAAGATTTTCCCACTAAAAACCTCCATTTAGATCATTTTAGATCCATTGAGTTCAGGTTTTTTCGATGTTGACCGAAGAATTCCGGGGGGTGAACCAGGCACCCTGGAAGATCAGTGATTTATTGGGGGAAGTCTGTTGGTGAAAACAGCATACTTTAGTAGAGAATTTTCCAACATAGCAAGCACACAGACATGTAATGACATGTATTAACACGTCACAATACTTGTTTATTGATTTATTGATGATTTTTGATTTACGTTTGTATATAACATATAATTATATGATATTATATGCACTATATCGGGTGCAAAAAAAATAAATTGCTAAACCGCGAGTCACCGCAAGGAACTCCGTAGATCTGAAGGCGAGGAACTGGGTCGACAGAAGGACTGGCAGCTGCCCAGCGTCGCCACTGAAACCCTCCGAGGGGCATGTGCCATGGCGCTTCTTATGGGAACTCAAGGGAATGTTGTGGTGATATGGGATATGATATATACCCATTATGACTATTATCCAGTATTACTATACAATATTATACATATTGTTGGTTTACAACCATTAGTTATAGGGTTTTTATTGGGTATTAGCGGCATTTTTCCAACAAAAAAACTGGCTGTTTTTTGAAATCGCCACATCCCACCGGATGATGATCCTTTTAGACCGGTGACCCAGCATTTTTCTACGGCATGTTTCCGTAAAAATGTGGTTCTGATAGAGAAAAGCAAGTGATTTGGTTGATAATGAGCATCAGTAAATATTAATATGTTGTTTTATCCTTGCATATTCGGGATCACTTTCCAAATCCATGGTTCATTGTTGATGCTTGCCGGCGTCGCCGAGGTGTGCTAGACCAGGGCGAATCGGTCGTAGTTGCTCTGCAGGATGCGAATTCGAAACGGCCGAGAGTTCTGAAGATTTCCTTGAAATGAGAAAACCAAAAACACCGGGCGCCGTGTGCCCCCCGCGCGGACAGAACCTACGGTGGGTAACTGTAGGTGGTGACATATATGCGACAAGATGTAACACAATGTAGATACATTTCTGTGTATATACACATATTTTACATTACTATTTGTATGTGTTATATGAATATACGTAGATACAGTATTCATAAATTGATATATTAATTCTTTAATATTGTATACACGTATACCTGAAACCTCGATAGCAGGCGCCATGAGAACCAATGTTTGATCTAAAAATTGGAAAAATTGAAAGGAAGGCTATACTATAAGTAATGGCCCGTTGAGTTTCCAGGTAGATGCACTTGTCATGGCCATTCAAGGCTATGGTCTTCGGTGCACTGCGAGTTACCTGCCGATCTATGCTTAATATAGAGTATAGGATTTGCAGATGCCGTTTGGGCATCAGCGACCCCATTCGCATGGGGTAAGCCAGCCTCTTAGAAGCTTGGCTACCTCTCTACTGCTTTGTCACAAACTCCAATGACACTTTCATTCATGTTCATGTTCCCTTGCTGCCAAACATGTGCTGGGATTGTTTTGCAAAAATGTGAGTCTTCCTAAATCGGTGTATGATTTTCCATATAATTCAATTGATCTGAATAGCCATTTTGGGGTATACCTCCTGTTTTGTGACAAACCCATATTCCACATTTGCCATGCAAGTGTTTTTTCACCGCCACTGCCAAGAGTTTTGTAGGTTCCCATGAGCCACCGGCAGAAGTGAGCACCCTTTGCTTCTGTGCCCAAAGGCCTACAATGGGTAATCATGAATCATGGTGACACCTCAACTCCTCGGTGGTTGATACTTAAGCCAGATAAATTGAAATACATGTTGCTTCATTCCTACAAGCTTCTTTGGTTCCAAGTTCCTATCATCCTACCCATCTGACACTCATCGTAGGCCCTTCCCTGAATGGGAGGTTTTTACCTCCTTGGATCTGCTGATGTGGATACATCCCCGTTCTGGGGCTGAACCAGCGTATGGTGATATATGCTTCCGTTGAAAAAGCTTGCCAGTGTGTGCAAAGTTTCGCTCCTTCCGTTTTCAATGCAGAAGGGGACTTACATACTGCAGAGGACCCATTACTCTTATGATGTAAAAAGAACCAGCATATTTTGTAAATCAAGGGTCATGTCCATTGCAACAAGAGGGTGATGTTCAACCTGCCGAGTGGAACCAATGCAAATGTTGGCAGGTTTCGGTGGCAAGATAAGAATTGCCCAAGGATACTGCTGCAGTTCAGTAGCAAGTTGCAATGTCGCTAGTTGGCTCATGTTTCCTCAAAAAATGGGAGATAGCTTTATACCCCAAAATGATCCAACAGCAACCTTCAATGATAAGGATGATAAGCTTGATAAGGTTAAACATCTCCCCATCACAACCTTCATTAACCTTCAATGATCCAACATCAGACAAATGATAAGGATCTTATTGGAATTGCGGATGCCTCTGAGACCAGAATGATTGTTTGTGCGTTGCTCGTGTTCAATCCATCAACGAAATCACACTCCAAATAGACCTGTGATTTTTCTGCCATTTTTCTGTTTATATGGGAGAGTAAATTCAAATTGTTTCTTTGCTAAACCCAAATGATGGTTGCTCAAATCCCGATGTTTGCTGGTAAATCCTGAGTTGTGTTTGTTGAATCATTTGTGTTGCTGCCCCTTTTCTTGATTCTTGGATCCTCAAATCGCATTTCTTTAGCCCATTGTTTTAATTCAAGTTTGAACTTGTAGCTGAAACTCCCAACTTGTGTTGGCCAAGCCCCCACTATATCCCATTGTATCGGATCATATCCGGTCATAAACTCCCAATTCTTGTTTTAACCGTTATAACCCCATGAAATCCCCATTCCGCCGCTTGTGCTAAGGCTGGATCGATCAGACGGAACCGCTCCGATGGGCGTCGGGTCTCCCAGTGGACGGTCCTTAAAACAACATGTTCAGCCCCTTTAAATAACATGATATGTTGATATTGGGTATATAAGGGGATATAACATGTTTTATCAACTAACATGGGGATATAAGGGGATATCACATGATATAACTGGGAAATGATAGTTCATGATTTATTTGTGGAATTATACTCGCCAATATGCTGGGGAATATCAGAATCCTCTTCGGAGAGTTAGCCGTTCTCCACTGCTCAGTTGACCCTAAGATGGGCATATCATTGGGGATTTACCAGCAAAGATGTTATGATTAGAATCAATGAACAATGGTCCATGGTGATACTAGCTATACATAGCTATATGGGGTGGGGGGGTTCTTAAACTGAGGGATCCCCAGTCGTCACCATGATGAGTTTTCAATACTAAGTCATGGTCATCCATGGCTTGGATGATGAGGTAAGGTACAGGTATATACCCCCATGACTTGGGAAACCTCCATAGAAACATGTCTGGAAATGGCAGACTTTATACCCTCTGGTAATTTAACATAACTATGGAAAATGACCATTTATAGTGGATTTTCCCATTAAACATGGTGATTTTCAATAGCTATGTTAAATTACCAGAGGGTATAGATTCACTGGATTTGATTGACACTGACTAACCATTCGATTTAGGGGTACCCTATTTCAAGAGCCACATCTCATTCGAATACACTTATATAAATGGTTCAAGGGAATATTTACAGGAAAGCCAACAAACAGTATATGAACTCAAAAATAAAGCTATGGATTCCTATAAATGCTCCCCTGTAACAAGCCAGTGATTTCCTGCACGTCCAAGAATCATGGGATGTTTTATAGGTTCAATCACCATTGAATGGGATTCCAGACTGGATTGAATGGAACATCTACAAAAAGCAAATACCTTTGGATTTGTTTCACAAAGCAGTGAGTTTTCTTTAGATGTTCAATTCACCCAATCCACTTGGTTGTTCTTTTTGTGCTCTAGGTACCATCTGGTTATTTAAGAGCCATGGAAAATCACCATTTTTCATAGGTAAACCAACTATAAATGGGCCATCTATACCATGGCTATGTTAGTCATAATCATAGGGTAGAGTCTTCACATGTTTTTGCTGCAGATGACCTGCTGAGGTTGCTGGAAGTCGTTTGGGATCCCGGCACCCGGCGGGTTGGGGGGGGGACCTTGCGGATACCTCAGTTGCTGCAAGGAATCGAGATATGTACGCTAGGGTCCACTAATTGGAACGGCAAACAAACATCAAAACTACAATATATATATAATGCAATATATACATACATTGGATATAGTTTTTGTTTCTATCTATTTGCATATACAAATTATATTGTTGAGGGTTACTGAGGGTTTCCAAATCTCTCTTAAAACAACATGAAAAACAAAATCAGGCGCGATTCAATTCAGTCCAACATATAAATTGTGTACAGCGATTTTGATGTGTGACAATATGTATCAATATGTGATATGTGTGAATTTTGGCCAGCTGTAACTAATTTCAGCCATATATGTGTTGAGTTTTTGAGCTGAACACTCTGCTAGGTCAGACACTTGGAGTCGAATCTATATAGATTTTGCACCCATTCGAAAGGGAAGTCATTCCCATGTTTTGATGATTTTGATTTCTGGATCAGAGGCACCAGAAACAGAGGTCCAGGTACTGAGTTACTGCTTCCAAAGATGGTTTTCATCACAGACTTGGTTTTCAGGCAAATTCCTTGCACTATCAGTTTCCCAGTGCGAGATCTTAAGATGATTCCCTGCACTAGTTTCATGGTGACTTGGTTTCATCTTTTATACCCTCTGGTAATTTAACGTAGCTATTGAAAATGGCCATTTAGAATGGATTTTCCCATTAAAAATGGTGATTTTCCATTGCTATGTTAGTTCACCAGAGGATAACTATTTGGGATCAAAACGATGTTTCTCTGAGGACATTTTCCCTTCCTCCCCGCCCAAGGTGCAATGCTGTCAGGCGAACCGGGATGGCCCAGGATCAAATTGGGCACCACTTCCATCGGTTGCGATGAATTTCCAATTAAGACGTAGTCTCAACATGTCTAAACGCCCAAAAAATGAAACTATTCCTGTACTAAGTTACTAAGTGATGATATTTGACATGATTTGCCGATATTTTGCTTGGCTTTTCGGGAAACTGGTGGGGGGAACCCACTGGATTTGGATGCCGAAGAGTGGCATTGGGGTTTTGTCAAGGCCGAAGTGTGCTTGGCAACGAAGCCGAACGTCGCTATGTGGAGGTGCCTGGCGCGTGGGTGGATTGTCCGTTTCGATTCGCTCCGGTAATTTGGTGCCCAGATGGCTCAACTGCTTGTTGATTAATACTATATATTGTATCCCTATGGATCCAAGTACCTTCTTAGGAAGTGTTTGGGGTATAATTTACTATAATTTGGAGAGTTAAGTACCTTCTCAGACAGTGTTTGGATCCATAGGGTATCATATTGTCATATATTGTCAATCTTGTCATAATATTGTAGGGTAATATTAATCTCCTGGTTTTGGCACTTCATACTCTCATTGTTTCACTGCTTGATTCAACTATGTAACCCAATGCTTATTTTGTCACATCTCGATTAATCTCCCCATTTTGTCGATTCTATCCCTATGTATAACCCCAGTTTGATGACTCACTGTGACCCACGCCATCTCAGAGTATTTGGATGTTGGACAGCACCAATTTATCGATATTTATCGTTGTTGTTTGCAGCAATGTTAGCAAAGCGTAGTATATAAAGCAATAGTAAACTATCCACAAAATTACCATCAATGGGGGATGCCAACCAAAATATGGATGATATGGATGTTTTGTGATTGATTTAGAAACATCAAATCCCATATAAACTATATATATATCCCATATAAATATGGATATGATATGGATATATCCCATATAAAGGGATTTTAATCCCATACATATCCGTATATATCCCATCTAAATCCCTTTCTTTTGTCGGTTCAGCCAGCAATTTGTGCCTGGACCATGGCCAGGCGATCCAGAGCCTAAAGGAGGGCATCGAAAAAGAGCAGTACACAGTGCGAATGCTTCAGGCACGGCACGGACCGTTCGGTGGGGTGATATCTGAAACCCTCTGGTAAT